CCACCCTTTTCTTTTACCAGCACTTAAAATATAAAAAAAAAAAAAAAAAAAACTTTTTTTTTTTTTTTTTTTTTTTTTTAAATTTAATTATAAGTTTTGTGTTGGATAAGAAATTTTGGGTATGAAAGGTTTCTCGGAGGGTTGTTCCATGTGCCTTGATCCTCCCTGTAAGCCATCTCATCAGTGTGAGAACATCCAGCTTTCGTCAAGCTTTTGGCTCATGTTTTTCTGCATGAAACTCTATTTGAAGTCTAGGACAGCATGAAATTGCTAGCAAATTAAGAGTTCCCTCTCACCAATCTTTCAAAACCTTGTTTGTATGCCTAACCAGGACCATCCCTTTGATCCACACATAAGTCGATTAAAACATCCGTGTGTGTGTGTGTATCTGGGTGCATGCGCTCCGGCGTGCATTACTGGCACCTATAGATGAACCTAAAGTGTTGAGTGTAAATTCTGCAGTCCTGATCTGAAATCCCCTCGCTTTGTCTCTTCCCTGTGGTTAGACTCTGACTCTGGGATAACACACAGTCACATGGGCTTCCTGGTTTCAAAGACCTACACTGTGTCAGAAGACGGATACGGCTGTCTGTCTGGCCTCATCCCCGCTCTGGAGCTGATGGCGCTTTACGTAGCTGCTGCGATGCACGACTACGATCATCCTGGGAGAACAAATGCTTTCCTCGTGGCCACCAGCGCCCCTCAGGTACTTTGTTCCCGAAGTCCTCCAGAACCACTCTCTCATTTGAGTCGGGAAACGTAGAGATTTGCCTGTCTGCCTTTTCTGATGTCTTCGTTATCGGAAAAGTCAGACAGACGTCGTCGCCGGTGAGCTGTAGAGAACAGCAGCTCTTCACACCGTTATAAAAACAGGGCAAGAGAAGCTGCGAGCGTAAAAGTGTGCAGATTTCCTGGAGCGTCCGCCTGTCCTTGCAGTTGTTTCATGTTGTTTTTCGGAACAGCCTGTTTTCCTTTCTAAGAACCTTTCAGTTGCTGCTGACATGAGTTTTGGCTGTCCCCAAATAATTCACCTCTTTAACATATTTTACTGTTTATTTTTTATTGCCTCATAGCCTCTCCTGCCTAAAACTGATTACATCACTCCCTCCGCTGTTCTACTTTCCTCAGTTTGTGCAGCTAATTTAAGCCTAGAGCCACATCTTTAAAACAAAATTAAATCCACAGTTTACAGCAAACACCAAAACATGGGGCAATTTAGTTACATAATACATATTTATAACGTTGTAACTTTCAAGTAACAGTGTCTTAAACGATCCGAAACTCCACTCACCTCTCTGTAAATCCTGATGTAAAAATCTCACCAGGTTTTCTAAGAACTACAAACTAAATCAATGTTTAACTAACTGCTGTGTCAACATTCTCGATAGCAGGGCAATAAAAATGTGACATAAAGACGTAGATTAAAAGAAGCAGATATTAGCCTGATTTAGAAATAATTTTATCTCTTTATTGTGTTTTGATTTACCTCCGGTTCGCTCACTTCCTTTGGTTTTTCAGGGACTTAAAAAGTATTTAAGTGATTTGAATTGAGGCCTCAAAACATCTTAGATGGACCCGCTTTTGAGATTAAGGTTTAAAAGGTCTTAAATGTGTACACTTGCTCATTTATTTCCTCTTCCAAGAAAGAGTTTTTCTTTGTTTTTGAGAAATCCTTTGGAAACATTCGTTTGTTCCACGTTAACCATTACAGACCATGTAGCCCAGTAGCCAGTCCTGCTGGGGGGGAATTTAAAGCCTGACGTTGTGAAAACCTAAAACAATGTTCGCCCCAAAATGTCCTTATTAAAGACTTTGTCTATTTCCTGCCAGTAGTTATGCAGCTTTAGTTTAACCCCTTTTTTTGTGAAATTCTTCCTACTTCTGCAACTTTAACAATATTAACAATCTCATTTATTCTACAGTGTGAGTAATAAAATAAATGTATCCGTTTACAAAAGGTGGTTTTTATATGAACAACTCTACTCGGAAGCCAAAAAAACAACAACTAAAGAACAAATTCTGTGATCTATAAAGCAAACAATTTGATCAGGTTTTCCAAGACATATAAAAAGGATCAGCGCTTTTAACTCACCGCTGGATCTGCTTTCGTGACGTTAGGACAGTAAAACCTCTTGTGAAAGCAAATGAGTCAAAAAGTTTGATGGGTGAAGTTCCAGGAAAAAGCAGCTCCCGTAATGGGCAACGCTTTGATCTAATCGAGCCCCGGATAGCATAAAACACGTTTAACCCCTCATCTCTCGAGGCCTCACATTTGGTTCCAGGAGATTTTAGCGGAACAACGTTAAAGTCCTGCTTGCACGCGCTCATGCAGAGAGTTTGGCTGTTTGCAGGCAGTGCTCTACAACGATCGCTCGGTCCTGGAGAACCACCACGCCGCCTCCGCCTGGAACCTCTTCATGTCACACCCGGACTACAACTTCCTGGTCAACCTGGACCACGTGGAGTTCAAACGCTTCAGGTTCCTGGTCATCGAGGCCATCCTGGCAACGGACCTCAAGAAGCACTTTGACTTCCTGGCTGAGTTCAATGCCAAGGTACTGCGAAAGACGGACTCTTAAATGGTTTACATGAAGTATAACATGAAATGGAATATGTATTATTTTTGGAAGTGGTCTGTGAAGAGAGGAAACTATTAAACGTTTCTAACATTTCACATGCTGCTTATTAAATTCTGTATTTTTAGATGTGAGAAAAGCTGACCGGCCTTTTATTGTTCCCTCAATAGGTGGGCGATGATCCGTCAACGGGTATTGACTGGTCTAATGAGAACGACAGGTTACTGGTGTGCCAGATGTGCATTAAGCTGGCAGACATCAACGGGCCTTTAAAGTGCAAGGATCTGCATCTGCAGTGGACTGAGGGCATTGTCAACGAGTTCTACGAACAGGTGGGCCAATTCTCTGCAAGGCTGCCATGTTTGTGGCAATGAAGCAATAAAAACGCCCCTGCAGCACCATGCAGCACAGCGCCGTATTGCAAAATCGGTCTTCAATTTATTTTATTTGAGTTTTTAAGTGATAGATCAACAAAAAGTATTGCTTTTTTTATGTTCACAAACAGATAACCTGACCAGATACAGGCAGAAGGAACACTTTACTATTATTTTTTTCTTTAAACAAGAAAACACAACAAAAAACCACAGAAACTAATACTTGCAGTAGGTAATGTAAATATGATTTATGTCACAGCACGATAAAGTACTTCCAATACCAAATGACAGCAGGTGGTGATGGAATAACAAAGCTTGTGCATAAACAAGATGCTTGACTTTAACATTTTAGTGCCATCTGCTCTTAGGGCACCCAAATGGCTAGCAACGGCCCTGGATGCAAATTATATTGTTGCTTCAAAGAGCAATTTTTTTTTTGTTCACCCTTTTTGACAGTTCTTTTTTTTTTCTCCGGATTTTTAGCTGTAAGCTTGACGACTCAAACTGTAGGAGTGTTGCATAATTATCTGTACAGTAACTGTGGCCTCATTCTGAATGGAGCTGCAGTAACAAACGTAACCTAGTTATGAGCACAGCTTATTTCCACTCACAATTGTTTGTTAGGATGGCATGCACTCTTGGCACTGAATTCCTCCCGTCTCTCTTAATTGACAGAGACAAAAGCTTTGAATGTTTCCAGGGGGAAGTGACGCACAAAGGTTTTCTCTTCAAGGCACTTGACAGAGGCGGCTACTCGACCCGAGTGCACTTCACAGTCTCCAGCATTATAAACCGATAGCAACTCACTTCCTTCCCCAAAATGTGACACCAACTTTACCAGCTTATTTATTTCTTTCCCAGGCCTACCTTATCAGTTAAAGTGTCATTAATCAAGAGCTCTATTAGCTTCCTGAAGGTGTTTTAAAGTTTCTCTCGCCCCATGCTGTCCTGTCCTTGTGCCCGAGCATGTCAGCATTTCATACACTTAAAAATCTGAAAGTGGAGCTGCAGTGAGTCCCTGCGGGTCTCCTGTGCAGAGACAGTTTGTCCTTGACTCAGGTGACCGTTGCTCAGGTCTTTTGCTGCATGACCCTTCACTGTTCACCTGCTTTCCTGTCTGATTATAAAATAAAAGCCACAAAAGTAAGAAAAATATCCAAAGATAGGGTATTTTACTCTTCATGTAATCATCCATCGTAGGTCAGTCCTTCACCTGATATCTCATTGATAAAATTTGCATCTTGCAATCTGTGTTATTATTTTTTTTAAGGATTACATAAATAATACAAAGAATCTTGAAAATCCATTACATTTGTGACAGACTAGTCTCTCAGCATCCCACTGAAAAATGGTTCTTTGCTAAATTTTCTACTGTTTTATTGGCATTAACTGGTTCACTCGTTGATCATTTATCCTGTTTTTATTTTGATATGAAACAGTCATAAACTGAATCTCATTCTGCCAGACCGTGAATAAACTAATCCAAAGGTGACAAGCGAGGAAAATCTGAAAACCTTAAAGGAGATGTTTTCACTTCTGTCTCTATAGATGTCATGGAAATCACACTTTTTTAATTAATTTCAGAGATATTTGAATTGTAAAAGTACAAAAAAAAATCTACAAGTTGCTTATATTTATTGTTCAGTAGAAGTAACTACTTGTATGTGATATTCAGTCATATTCATTAAATTAGGATCTGCAGATGAGGCCCATTTGTCAGATTAAATGACAAGCAGGTATCAGACATACTTTTCATTAAGCTCACGTTTCTGTATTGAATATGTTTTCTTAATTATATAAGAAAACATAATAATCTAAATTTAAATGTCATGTTTTCATTGCCCTGAAGCGGAAATATCATCCTAATTAACAGAAAAAAAGACTTTTAAACGCCCCTCTGTATTCTCCGAAAGAAAGGAACTTAATCAGTAATATTATATTTTATTGAATGGGTCTGTAGATGACCAATCAGAATTGGGTAATGCTGTAAATCAGCTCTTGTTCGTCCTTTTAGTTTGTGTCATTTTGTGTTAATGGCTCACGCTGTATGTAGGGCGATGAGGAGTCCAGCCTGGGGCTTCCTGTCAGCCCCTTCATGGACCGAGCAGCGCCGCAGCTGGCCAAGCTTCAGGAATCGTTCATCACGCACATCGTCGGACCGCTCTGCAACTCCTACGACTCGGCTGGCCTCATACCTGGTCGGTGGGTGGAGCCAGAGCCTGAGGAGGAGGAGCCAGAGATCGCCGAAAGCGAGGAGGCGGACGAAGACGGATCCACCTGCTCTGACGCATCGCGTGAGTACGAGGGTCCAAACCAGAGTGAAAACAAGACTAGAACCCTAAAACCTTTTTTTTTTTTTTTTTTTAGAAAACCATTCTCTCTGTATGCAAATTAACTCCTTTCAAGGAGCCAATTTTTGTTCTTTACCTTCAGATTTATTTGTCCAGCACAATTGATATTTATTCAACCAATCTCTGCAAACAAAACCTGCTTCGATAATTTGTAAAAAAAAAAAAAAAAGTATTTAATGCAGAGGTTCCCAAACTGTGGGGCGCGCCCCCTAGCGGGGGCGCTGTGCAGGGGAGGGGGTGC